TATGTGTGTGTGTGAGTGTGTGTGTGTGTGGATGTTTTTGTGTGTAGTGTGTATGTATGTACATTAAGTGTATTCATTGGCGTGTTTTGGTATATTTTGACGTTCCATTGAACTGTACTTGTGTTTGTGTTTGACATTATAACAAGTCCGTTGCCTTCGTATACTTGGTACAATTGCTATCTGATGTTCTATCCCAAATCATGTTTTTTTTTGAATCCGCTATTATATTTGCATCAGAAGAGTTTAGGGTTTATGTTTTGTTTCTGAATGATATCGGATTAAAGCCACGTACACTAGGTTGGAAAGCCATATCAACCAATGTCTGTAAAACGGAACTCAAGTCATACCATGTATCTTTTGAATAGCCATAGGTATTTTATTGACCGTAGTGTTCTGCATAGCCATGTATCTCTCGAATAGCCATAGTTCTTCAAATAGCCCTTCACTGGATAACCATGTATCTCTGAATAATCATTGTTCTTTAATTGACCGTAGTGTTCTGATTAGCCATGTATCTCTGGAATAACCATGTAACACCTTGTCTCTGAATAGCCGTGACTCTGATTTGCTCAGGTGCTACTACTGACCAAAGACGGGCGCTTTATCCGCCTAACCGAGAAGGACACACAGACCAAACTTGAGATTCTGTTCAAGAAGAATCTCTACCCTCTGGCTATCAATTTGGCCGTTTCTGCCCATCAGGTATGTCCAGGGTTTTTTTTGTTCAGATTTAAGAGTGTAGGGTTTGGGATTTAGGGGTTTAGAAGTGTTCGATGCGTGACAGAAAAACCTGGAGATACCCCCTCCTGGCTGTAGATTTTTCTTTTTTTTCTTTTTGCGCCACTGCTTTCACACCTTTACTAACTGCAACGCTGATAAGATGCTGTATCGCAAAATACAATACAATACAATACAATACAATACAATACAATACAACCACAGACCTAGCTGCTAGAGACTTCTACTAAGTGGAAATATTGCGCAATACAATACAATACAATACAATGCACTACAATACAATACAATACAATACAATACAATACAATACAACCACAGACCTAGCTACTAGAGACTTCTACTAAGTGGAAATATTGTGCAATACAATTCAATACAATACAATGCAATGCACTACAATACAATACAATACAATACAATACAATACAACCACAGACCTAGCTACTAGAGACTTCTACTAAGTGGAAATATTGCGCAATACAATACAATACGATACAATAGCAGACGCCCCATGTGCACAGCTATCAGCTCTCCCAGTCCCACACTATATCGGGATATCCGACCAACAGGCTCAACATCTCGGGTGTTCACACCCATTTTTATCCTAAACCATCCGACAATTAGGCCGAAGACCAAATCATGGACATCCATCGCGAATACGGTGATCATCTGTACAACAAAGGCGACTTTGACGGCGGCATTGAACAGTATGTGCGCACCATCGGGCATCTGGAGCCGTCGTATGTCATCCGCAAGGTGTGTCGTACTATCGTATTTTTTTTCCGCGATTCGTAATTCGTTTTCTTGGTGCGTTGTGAGCTGTCGTATGTCATGGCTGAAATGTAGCGTATTGTCGTATTTGTTTTGTATTCCCGCGTTCCGTGGTAGGATTTCTTGGTATTGATGCGTTATGAGCCCATATA